AGCAGGGGATCTAGGTGCGCCGGTTTCAGTAGTTGTGTCGGGCGGGCTTCAGTAGTTGTGGCTCGCGGGCTCTAGATTGCAGGCTCAGTAGCTGTGGCACCCGGGCTTAGCTGCTCCGCGGCATGTGGGATCTTCCCGGACCAGAGCTCGAACCCGTGACCCCTGCATTGGCGGGCGGATTCTTAACCACTACGCCACCAGGGAAGTCCCAACTCCAGCCATTCTTGCACTTCACCAGCACCTTCAATCCATTGATCCTGCTAATTTCCACCATCTGTCACTCCCTCCGCTTCTCCTTTCCCAGTTACTCAGCTTAGATCCCATGATCTCTCTTTGTAACACTCCTTTGCACACACCTTCAGGTTCTTTGCTACTTTCTCTCTTTCCTTGTTATACTCACGGGCATAACTCATCACTCTACACCCCCCACCCCCATGTCTTCAGCTGTGCTGTGCTGTGGCTGAAGGAACATACACCGCTGAGCTAGTAGGTCTCAATTTCATCTCCGTGGGCCCCTCAGGCTGCTCCTTCCTTGTCCATTTACTCTTTTCCTCTCCTGAAGGACTTCTTCCTCCTCCCTGCTCTCCTATTAAACCTCCACTACCTCCTTCCCCACCCTGAATCTCCACTAATAACTTTGCTTCCACGTTTCTTCTTTGCATCATGACTTAGAAAAGAACTTTCTCCTATTTCTTCTACTGGATTTACATTGTCTGTGTGTGGGCCCACGGCCCGGGCCTTCCCTGCAGCGGCCACGGGAGCACTGGACCCTCACGACGGCTGACAGGCGCCTGTCCAGCCCCTCCCTCTTCCTCTGGCGCCCCTGGGTGGGCAGCCCCCCGTGGAGAGGCCAGGGGAGGGGCCCCAGTCAGCTGCGGCTTAAGATCAAGGTTCGAGGGAGCCCAGATGGTCACATGGGGGCCTGGGGTGACCAGCCCCTCTCTGACTTGCCTTCCCACCACTCTCCAAGGGGTGCCAGTGCCGACATTTGGCGTCTTGGTAGCCCCACCAAACCTCACCTGCCCCTCCCACCTCCCCTCCCGGCCCCTCCCATCTCCCCTCCCGGCCCCTCCCACCTCCCCTCCCGGCCCCTCCCATCACCCCTCCCGGCCCCTCCCACCTCCCCACCAGCCCCACCACTTTGAGGGCTCTGCTCAACCGTATTTTACCCCCTGAGGTCTTTCCCAACTCCCTGCTTAAAGTAGTGCCTACCCCAGGGCAGTACCCAGCCCCAAACTGGCTTCAGTTTTCTTCAGTGATTATTATAACTGTTTTGCCAGATGGCTGGTTTGTCTCCCACCTGCACCAGAAAGCACCAGAGGACTGGGAATTGTGTGTGTCTCTGTCAGTATTGAAACACCACCTAGAATAGTGGCCGGCACATGAAGACTCCCCTTAAATAAAATATTTGAACAGATATTGGAGTGGAAGATGTGATTAAATTAGAACAGAATCAGAAAAAGCCAATTAGTAAAAACTACATACCAACACATGTATTCATAAAGCCACGCTGGTCCATTTGAATGGACACAGCTACCTGTTTTGGGATCCTTTTGGACCTGGCTGTGCTGAATGTACTAGAAATCGTTGATCCTGTCAGGCCCTTGGGGGATCAGGAGGGAAAATGACTAACACCAAATTCTGTCCAGGAATTCCTGTCCCTTTTTTCCCTCTTTAATTGCTCTCAGGGAGGTCAGTAGTTAAGTCAGGATTTAACCCACCTGCTCTGGGCTTCTTCAGTGCTTGTTATCTTCATGTGGGACACGGACACAGAGCTGTAACCTGTTAGCACTTAACAACAACTCCTCAGGCCAAATGCCTACTTCCCTGGGAGTTTAGGAAAGGTGCTATTTTGACCACGCATGTGACTCCATTTGGGTCTACACTTATGGACAACCACATGGCTTTCGGTTGGTAGAAGAAATAGCCTATGAACTCACAAATGGAGGTACCACCTTAAGAATGAATAGTGCTGCTATTCCCGAGGTTGGGAAGTTAGGCGGTCGGTCCACTGAAAGTGAAAGGAAAGCATCTCAGTGTCTGTGTAAAGTTCTAGAAATGTTTTTATTTAATTCTGAAAAGTTCTGCTTTTAATAACATCGTCAGCATAAATCATTGCCTCACAGGGTTTTAAGCAAGCTCTGATTTAGGAAGAGAAAGCACAGGGTGTTCTTTGAGTATTAAATAAGATGACTAGGGCTTCCCTGGTGGCGCAGTGGTTTAGAATCCGCCTGCCATTGCAGGGGACATGGGTTCAATCCATGGTCCGGGAAGATCCCATATGCTGCAGAGCAACTAAGCCCGTGCGCCTCAACTACTGAGCCTGCTCTCTAGAGCCCATGAGCCACAACTACTGAAGCCAGGGCACCTAGAGCCCGTGCTCCGCAACAAGAAGCCACTGAAATGAGAAGCCTGCGCACCGCGACAAAGAGTAGCCCCCGCTCTTCACAACTAGAGAAAGCCCACGCGCAGCAAGGAAGACCCAGCGCAGCCAAAAATAAATAAATAAAAATTAAAAAAAAAATGATGACTAACCCCACACAAAGCCAAGAATACAGCAGGTGCGTAATACATGCGCTTTCCTCCCTCTCTCCTCCCCTCTCTGCGCTGTTTGCGATGGTCCCCACCCAAACTGTTGTTTCTGTATAATGTGGAAGTTAGGATATAAATATTATTATGTTTTAATAAGTCATCATTTATTTAAGACCAGTGATTCTCAACTGGGGAATGATTTGGCCCTTCATGGGACATTTGTCAAAGTCTGGAGACATTTTTGATTATCACAATCACAGAGCGGAGGAATGCTAACTCCTCAAAACAAAGAACTATACAGCCCCAGATGCCAGCGATCTGTACTTTACACTTGTGTTTACAGTTTGTTTCTTCACTGGACTCTAAATAAAAGAAGATTGAGAAGGATGTGACAGGCTGAGGACCCAGCTTGGGAGAAGTTTGTGGACCCACCTATGGTAGAAGCACACTATGGATGGTTTCCAACTTACAAACAAGTGCTTTATTAGATACTCATTTCTATGTTAGTTGTTTAGCCTCTTAAAAAACAAAACAGGGCTTCCCTGGTGACGCAGTGGTTGAGAGTCCGCCTGCCGATGCAGGGGACACAGGTTCGTGCCCCAGTCCGGGAAGATCCCACACGCCACGGAGCGGCTGGGCCCGTGAGTCATGGCCGCTGAGCCTGCGCGTCTGGAGCCTGTGCTCCGCAACAGGAGAGGCCACAACAGTGAGAGGCCCGCGTACTGCAAAAAAAAAAAACCCAAAAAACAAAAAAAACAATGTGGCAGAGGCATGGAGAAGTCCAGATGGGAGGCGAAGATGATGAGACATGACTCTGGCAGACTGGCAGACACCAGGGTGGGAGCTGGTCAAACCACGCCAAGTGGCTTGAGTTTTATCCCAAGAGCTGCAGAGAGCTGTACGTACGGGCCCTCATGCTCTTTTCTGTACACTATTCACAGCCTGTACATATTTTTATTATTACTTGTGTCTCTCTGTATCATATGTATTGATAACTTGGTTTCCTGAACTGGGCCTCTTCATCTTGCTTTTGTATAACACAGAGGTTTTTCAGCAAGTATTTATCTCAAAATAGTTATTTCTCCACTTTGGAACAGGTAGTTTTCCCAAACACTTGTTTCAGTTGCAGTCGTTTAGAGCTTGAAATGCATTGTCCCATTTTCATAAACAATGGGTTTTCAGGCTGGTGTGGAAACCTTCCAGAACCCACAGTGCTCCTGAGATGTCATGCTTAGTAGCTCAGAACGGAGGATTCCCACACAAGGGCAAAGAGGAGAGAATTTCCATTGCCTTTCTTCGTTGAAAGAGGACTCTTGGCAAATGTGATCTTAACCCTTTTCCTCCCAACCTGATGTGTAACTCTCCCTCACCTTCTACTGCACGTTTCTCTTGCAGCTCCCAGCCAGGAGGCACTAAGACCACGTGGTCAGGGGCCCCATGAGGTGGGTTGGGGGCTAGGGAGCTCTTGTCTTACTGGCCTCTGGAGAGTCTGACATGGCAGGTCATGGAGGGACCACCACCTTGCTTGTTGTCAACTTACTATTTCCCTTTGGTCTTTCTAGGATTGCTTTGCATTTCATTTCTTTCTAAGAAATAGCTCTTTCTTTTCTCTTTTAAACACTTACCAAAAAGAAAAAAATTTGCATTGGTTTACCTCAGTGGATATGTTTTCTGAGAACATTCAGTCTAGTTGTTGGGTCATTCTTTCACTCCCAATGCTTTTTGCTTCCACTTAGGATACTTTAAGATGACTTCTTAGATTCTACAGTCTACAAAAACAGAATAGTCCATCTGAGGTTACATTTCTCAAACTTGAATCACACTTCCTCTTGGAGGAAGTGATCTTTGTAAGTGATATAGTTTTATCTTAACCATAGGATACCATGCTAACAAAAAATATAGCATGTTTCAAGATGAAGACATAAAGTAATATGGCAAAATCTATTATAAGAATTATCAAAGAATTCTTTGCAATTTTGTTCCAGCCATCTTTGTTCTGATAAGGCTGTCATCTTCTTAAGGCATGCAACCGTTTTTGTTTTTGTTTTGATCTGTAAGTACCTCACATACTGGCAGAGTCCATGTTTGTGGTGTGTGGTGCTAGCCCATAGTTACCGTCAGTGTCTGTGAGAAGAGGTGGAATGAAGCAATGAGTAAAAAACAAAGCATGGGCATAATTATTAGTCACCGAGAGCACACGTGATTAATGCCATCATTTTTACTTTCCTATCGATAAAAGATTTGCAATAATATATAGGTCTGTGGATATTGGAAGAGCAAGTTTTAACTCTTGTTTTTCCACATTATTTTTTATCGTACTAAAGGTTAATTAAATAATTATTTCTCAGTTTCTTTATTGCTCAGAACTTTTATAAGTAAATGAAAAGATCATCATTTTACCCTCAGTGACTGCAGTTTTAATCCAGCTCAGAGTTGTGAAATTGTTTCCTCTTGTGTTTCCTTTCCAGAAAGCACGAGGTCATTCTCTTGTTTCAGCCAGTGAGTGCAACTTCAGAGCTGGGAGAGAGTGATTGCAAGGTATTCAGTTATCTGGTTTATTCTACATTGTCCATCCATGCTTGCTTTCAGTTTAAGTTTCTACAGGCATCAAGGGTATATCTGGGGACTCTGACCTGTGGGACTGTAGACACACAGCTTTGAAGCTGAAAAATCTCAAGGGTATTAGCTAATCCAGTTTTGAATTTAGCACCATGGGGCTTCTGCCATAGGCACCGAGATGCCACTGGCCATGCTTCCTACAAGATGGTGTTTCCCTATGGTCAGTAATGGGCGGTGAGTCTGGCTCTGCCTTGTAATGCCTATGTGAAGTTAGGCAAAATGCCTGCCCTCCCTCAAGCTCTTTCCTCATCTTCGAAATGGAGACTCTAATGGGGTAGCCTGATGGGTTTCCAATTCCAAACAGTGCTCACGTCACCGCCACCACCACCAAAAAATATATGAGGCTGCATTCTACCATTATTGTTATGAGTGGTATTAGTAATCTCATTTAGTGCTGACAATAAAGTTATATAAAAATTCTTTAATGACTTTAGGTCATCTTTGAACAGAGCCGAAGCCAGAAAAAAAAATCAGCCAACCTAAACAAGTGACAGATTAACACAAAGACATTCTTTATTTGATGTTAGCAGTTAATTTGCTACATGGTTATCCATTTTTCTAATAAATCCTGGACAATTTGAAGTTCTGTGCCCACCCATTTAAAAGATTTGCCAACCTCAAGCACTGTGACCCGACTGACCCCTGTCCCTTATACATCATTATCCAGTTTCTCTTATGGACCGGAAAGGAAGGAGTACATCTGGCCTGAATGTGCCTAATCTCTTCACAGAAGGCATCTTGTAAAATAGGCCACTGTCTTTCAATCAAATCTTTCCTTTAACTTGTTGAGAAGTTCTTTCTCTTGCCAGAGAAAGCCTTTCCTCTTAGAAGAGTAAGGAGCTATTTCAGGGTCATTTGGGTTCCCCTCAGAGGTCTTTCTAAATATAACCGCAGATCCTAGAAAACAGCCTGCTTTTTGTTAGTTAACTTCAACTTAAGAGCCAGTGCATTAAGAGCTTTGATTATCCACGCTCCAAAAATGCCTTCCTCTGATCTCCCGTCATTTGACAAGAATCTCGATTCTTGTCGAATCTCAGGGATTAAACACTGTTTTCTCTAATGGACTTCCATTTCCACGAGAGCTGCTCGCCTTACACATTTTATTTGCGGGCCTGAAATATAGAGCATTTTCTAGTTAAGGGACATTAAGATTTAACTCAAGAATCTATATATTGGCTTGGCCCAAAAGTTCGTTCGGGTTTCCCGTACCATCTTCCGGAAAATTATGGGAAAACCCGAACGAACTTTTGGACCAACCCAGTATTTCAGAATAGGGCTCAGATGTTTCTGTAGTGGAATCACACAGTCTTCTCAAGTTTCTAGAAAGCATTGCATTATGTGCTGTTTTTGCATGTGGCAGATTGCTTCAATCTTACTATGAGGATATTTCTCTGCCTTTAAAAAGAAATTTCACCTGGGATTTGCAGTCTGCTCTCTGCCACATCCCTGACCCCAGCATTCAGTTATCTTCATTTGTATACCCCAAACGGCTCTCAAAATTAATCTGTTTAGAGCGAAACTTTCTTCCCCACCCCCGTCTCTTGTCTTCTACTCACAACTGATTCCTTCTCCTGGAATCAATATTTTAATTAAAGACATCCACTGTTGACATCGTAACTCAAGCCAGAAATCTCCATCCTGACATTGCTTCACCCTTTGCATTCAGTTCACAGTGGATTCTGGATTTAAGATAACGTAGGAAATTCCCCAAACGGTGACTGGCGCTAGGCGAGGTCAAATATTAATTGCCGGCTGTCACAGATGTTAATTGTAAATATCTTTCCCATCTTCCTCTCCTCTGTCCTCCATGTCACTCCCTTAGTTTTGGTCCTCATCAGCTCTGTGCCAGTCTGTTGCTGGAGCTAACTAGTAGAGCTCTCTTCCAACAGACTGTCTCCACTCTAGGTACCCTGCTCCCCAGTTTATAACGTGATTTCCCACTCAGTGACTTCTGTGGGCCCTTGTAACCTTGAGAATAGACCCACACACTTTGCTGTGTACCTCCGCGATCAGCCCTGTGCGCCCCTCCAGCGCACTGCCTACCTTCCCCTGCTTCGCCATTTATGCTTCATTAGGACTGAATTTCTTGGGATGTACTAACAACATCGTGTTTTTTCAGGCACCCATGCCTTTGCGTGTGCTTTTCTGACTTCCGAGAACGCCCTTGCTCAATTTTTCTTGATATATTCCAGTACATCCTTCAAGGTCACCTCAATTTCCATCTCCTCTGAGAAACCCTCTCTGATTCCCCCATGTGTACTGGGCTCCCACGGTTCTTCAGTTGTATCTCTGATCATGCTGCATTTAACTTTCCACTTATACATCTGACCCTCCCTCCTTTGGACACTAAGCTCGAGGGTAAGATTCAGATCTTCTTATTTTTATATCTACAACATCTAATAGATGCCTTGCACATAGGAACACACAGTGGATGCTCTGATTTCTTTAAGTGAGTGGATCTCTGACCTTGTAATAAAAAGGAAGATGGTATTTGTAAAAAGTAACCTCATGGTGTGCTTATTCCCTAAGTACAAGCATTTTTCTCAACAGTAATGTTTTGCTTTTCTATTTTGCTTTCAGTATCCATGCGTTAAGGAGGAGCTGCCAGAACCAATTTACAGCCCCTTTCCCTCTTCTACTGCTGTCAGTACTAAAATGGTGGCTACCTATTTTTGGAACTTAGAACTGTGTATCATTTCCACCTAGGAAGTAGATTTAGTCAATATCCTCCTCAATTTGGGTGATGATAGTAGTTACTTGTATGACGTTTGAATGGGGGATTCAAAATTTACATTACTCCAACCCATTTTCAGGCTTCTCATGTGCCCTTGGAAGGGTGATTCAGATTTCCAGAGTTGTTCTTTCCACTTATCAGAAAGACAAGCAATGAGAACAGCATCAATAACCGTCTTTCCACTTATCAGAAAGACAAGCAATGAGAACAGCATCAATGAAGAACCGATAAGTTCTTTCCACTTATCAGAAAGACAAGCAATGAGAACAGCATCAATAACCGTCTGCTGGGACAGAAGCCCTAATCCAAAGCAACAAGGCCACAGTTAACACAATTAGCAAGGAACTGCATTTTGAAGAGCTCGGGAAACATAATGGGATTCATTTTTAATTCCAACCAATTCTGAGCAAGAAAGCAAAAGCCTTGGCTCTCTGGAGTGGCTTTGACATCAAGGGTTACCTACCGCAGGCCTGTCAGAACTTTTAACAGCTGTCTCCGCTGTGAAAACAGACTTAGGTTGTAAGGTGATTGCAGAACTGAGGAAATGATGACTTTGTCTCTCATATGAACTTTGGCTCGCAAAGATGAGGTTAATTTCCGTGTACGCTGTTCACTTTATTTTTTAAGTCAATTTTAATAGCAGTCTGCCTGTGCCCTGAAAAAATGTCCAAGGGCAGTAAGAAAGAGTTGATATAAATATGCGTAATGGTGTATATCTTAGCGCTCTCTAGGCCAGTAGTCAACAAAATACTTTGCAATCAACCTAATTAATCCTTTATTTTTCTTTTTTGCTATCCTGCCTTGCATTTACTGTGTGTATTTTCTGAATTACAAAAGCAATATACTTATTCACTACAGTACGCTGGAAAATACAGAACTCCCAAGGAAGAAAAAAAGCTTCCCTATTCCCAAGGAAGAAAAAAAGCTTCCCTATGAGGCCATTACCCCAAAAGAACCATTGTCAGCTTCTTGGTTGATATTAGCCTCCAGGTTAGAGTTTCCTCCAAGCAAGCCTACATACTTTTCAAATTCTTATTATGAAAAATTTCGCATACACGAGAGAATGAATAATACAGTGAGTTCTCATATACTCACTACGTAAGTTCACAGATTACCAAGATTTCACCATCATTGGTTTGTCCATCTCTTTTTTCTCCTTCCCTTCCTCTTTTCTTTTGGAAGTATCAGCTAACTACTTTGTAAGGGAAAGGGGAATCCTGATATACTGAGGGCTGTGGAAGGCAAGTATTTGCCTGCCAATTTCATACACCTTCACCCACCTTTTACTTAGGAAGCAAAAAGTATGGTTCTACATTTAGTATTATATTGTACTTGGGGGAATAAGTAGCCTTAAAGCTCAGGTCTATCACATGCTAGATGGGTATTGATTTTTCCTCTTAAATCAATGTTTCCCTAGAGCATAGTTTTATTTATTCATAAGGCCAAGATGATGTCTTACAGGAGTTATGGCAGCGTAAATCTGTGATGCAGGCCTAATACGAAGAGCTTCTGTAAGACTCAAAAATCAATGATGCTAGAGGGTTACTTCATAAGCTTGAGAAAGTGCATTTGCTGTGCTTCCAAATGTAAAGGGAGAATTTCAGCCTGTAGTTAAGTTTCATTAAGTTTCATTCCTCTGTTTTCCAGGCCACCTTTCAAATGGACCTAAATGAAGTACAGTTGACCCTTGAATAACACAGGTTTGAACTGTGCAGGTTCACTTATACATGGTTTTTTTCCAACAGTAAATTCTATGTATAGTACTAAATGATCCGTGGTTGGTTGAATCCATGGAAGCAGAACTCTGGGTACAGAGCAACTGTGGTTACAGAGGGCCCACTGTTAATTATATGCAGATTTTTGACTGCATGGAGGGTTGGTAGCCCTGGCCCACATTGTTCAAGGGTCAATTGTATAGCATCAGACTGGATGGAACCAAGCTTCAGCAGTGATCCTTTCTTGATACCGAATCTGTCAACTTACTCTCAAAAGCTGTGCTGGCCCTGTTGATCATAACACTGTAATTTTGCCTCATGGTACAGAATATATACATTCTAAAAGTATTCACTTTTTGTCAATATATGTGTGTGTGTTTTCTATTTTCTTTTAAAAGTTTTTAACATATGAAAATTACTATTAGAATTTTTTTAACTTAAAGAAAATATGTCTCAGGTAGTTTCCCCAA